TTACAGTTAAATGATGCAGATTAAAATCAGCCAAGAGAAGAGATACATAGGGGAGAGTCCAAGAAGGCACCAAATACAAAGCTTCTGTTATTTTCTCCCTGTGAAGTCAGGACAACATTACTCTCTCAGCACTGATGTGTGATAGTGCACACAGAATATTGCCAGCCAGGCTTACCTGAGCCTTAAGGGTGTGCAGACTTTTTATTGGGGCTTGATCACATACTGCCCATGTGGCTGATCTTTATTCTCCAGTCCTTCTGGGAATAGAACTCATATCATGTGGCCCAAAGACCCCATCATAAATCATATTGTTAAACTGTCTGGTGGCCAAGGCCTCAGGCAAAACACTTCTATCAGACATGAAATTTCCAGAGCCTAGAAATCAACTCCCAGTAGCTGAGGACAAAGGCCAGACCTTACTGGGTACAATTAATTGTTAACATTCCATGCTGGAAGTGACTAGAGACACCAATTAGGGTTAACTTCCCAGATCAGATTCCTAGTCACTTGACTTAGATGAGGGCATTTTTGTGTTGTATTGAATTGTGTATCCAATATATTTCTGAAATTGACCACACATAATGTTAGAACAATCAGCTCTCAGTTTTGCTTACAAAGTTGCATATTGGTAAGACATGTTAATAGGCGAGAATTTCAGTTCTCGGAATAATTTTATATAGAGTCAAATTGCTTCTTTTAACTTGTAAAGCCATCTTTGTGATCTAACTTCTGCTTAGTTGACTGGCATCATCTCTCACCTCTCCCTCCTTGTTTTCTCTATACCCGCCTTTCTTTGAATTTACCAAGCTCTCTGTAGACTCTCGATGTTTACATAAGCTGTTCCCTCTGCCAAAAATATTACTTTTTCTGTCTCACCAACCTCCTCTTTCATATAACTCCTACTTTTCACTTAGATTTCACTTTCCATTGGGAAGCCTTTCCTTGTACCCCAATCATAGTATGTACCTCTCCCTCTATGCTCCCATAATTGCCGGTGTTTTCCAATGATAACATCATCTTTCTGTCTGTCTCTCCCTCCCTCTCTCTTTCTCTTCTGTCTCTCTCTCTCTCCCTCCCTCTCTCTCTGTCTCTCTCTCTAACTCTCTCCCTCCCTCTCTCTCTGTCTCTCTCTCTCTCTGTCTCTCTCTATCTCTATCTCTATCTGTGTCACACACATGCCTGATAATTTGATGGAATCATTCACTACATTATATGCCTCATGAAGGGGAGTTTGTCTCTAGGACCTAACACAGTGATTAGCAAATAGTAGACAGTAAACATTTGTTGATGAATGGATGATGGCTTCTTTTCCCTGACATCTTTGGTATTATTTAGGTGTCTTTTATTAAAGTTGGCTGGTTCTTTTTTCTTTCTAGTTATTCACAAAGGTCATTTTTGTGTTCATTTGAATGAATGGTATTACTATTTCTGGCTTTTAGACTATTGCTCATTTTAGTCTAAGCAAAAATTTCATTAAAGAGCATATCCTTGTTGATTCCTGTCATAGTGGTTCTGAAGGGTCAGAAATCGGAAACACGCAGTTCTAAAACAACTTTGTTTTTAGACTGTATCTAAGTAGCTTTTGTTTTTAATGGAGTCATATTTTATTTTACAGCATTTTTTCTTCTTGGTCAAGGATTATGGTAGCTGGCTTGATATTGGAACAAGGTATGGTATATATTCATATAGAAGTTCCTAAAAATGCAGTGGGGGAAAAAAGCCAAACTTGGTATCTTAGAATAGATGGTGCCAATATGATTTTGAGATGAGCATAGCAAGTAGCAATTATTTTAAGCCTCTGGAAGCAAGACACGGATGTCTCCAGTTCTTGGCATTAACACATTAGCAAGTTTTTTCTTGGGAATGTTGTAGGGAGGAGGAAAGATGGTAAGTCTGGGGAAAACTAAAGGGCAGCACAAGATGCAAGAGAAATCTGGGGTTTCAAAGTAGAACACTCCAGTGTCCTTGCATGTTCTCTTAATCTCTCAATGTCTATTTAGAAAAATAAGGATATTTGAGTTGCAGTGTAAATTTTATGTAGTGGTTTATATTTCATGTAATCATTGTCTTTTAGAATATTTAATATGGGGGCAATGTAATGTGACACTTATAATGTTTAAAATATAATCTGAACAAAAAGTTTCTTCTTTATTATGATTTGAATGTCAATGATTGCCATAATCCGTTAAATTTTTTCTCTTAGAAAAAGAAAGCAACGTTGGTCCTTTTGCCTTTTTTTAAAAAAAATTCATTCTGAGACAGAATACCTTTTTTCTAGAGTGATTTTATTTCATTTAGTCATTATTTATTTAGCACTTTGTGTTGCCAGAAGTTCTGTAGGTTTGCATGAGACACTCTGCATTAGACGTTCCCTCCTCTGTTCATATCTCTTAGGCAGCTCACAGCTTGTACTGCCATGTTATTTCTATGTATATCTGCCTCTCCCATTACAGTGTGGATTCCCTCAGACCTGGGATCTGATTTGAATCTCTTACATGCCACATGTGCTAGGCACATAAAAGGTACTTTGCAGAGCATTGGTTTTGTTTTCATTTGTCTCAAACTTCAATGACTAGGGAGGGTTTTGATATCACTTTCTCACCAGCCCTCTTTCCCAGAGTCCATGCAGATAGTGGGTGAGAACATGGGCTTTAGACTAGAGATTAAATCACATTTCTGCCACTGTTTAGCTGTGAGACCATTGACAAGTGACTTAATCTCTCTAAGCCCCCCTTCTCTTGTAGTCATTTTGAATACATTAAACCATGTAAAGCATTTGGCACAGTACCTGGAATCTAATAAGCTTCAATAAATGTCAGCTATTACTATTGTTGTTGTAATTCTG